CCCTGCTCTTCGAACCACATGGAAGCCCAAAACCACATCAGAAAAGGCATTCGGAAAATGGTCGGGTTCCCCTGGTCCATGTTCAGCTTCCATGTGGGTCCCTTGCGGGAGGGTCCTTTTCCTGCAAAATCCATGTTTTCATGCGACACCGAACCATGTCGAGTGGCTCGCCCGAATGACCTGGGGAGGCATTCAGGCTGCTGCAATCAGCCCAGCATGTGGGTAAGGCCAGGCTGAAAGCAGTTGCTGAAAGCAGTTCAAAGCATCAACAGTTTGTGTTGCAGCGATGTTCTGAATTGATGCTCAGGTTGTGATCAGCTGCCAGAACTGCTTGGACGTTCCCGGCTCCAAAATCGGCAGGCTGATGGATAAAAACCAACACTGCTTTGCTTTGCTTTTGATGGACGTGTTAGTTGCTCTGCTATATGTGAGGTCATTGATGAGTTTCTTTTTTCATCGTTCCTGGGCCAGGCCGGAAGTGATCTTTGAGCTCTCTGAGCTTAATTGATGTTGGAGGAAATTCAGCAGATCCCGTCTATGGCTCACCTGAAGACAGCGACTTGCTTACCGGAACCCTCATCAAGCTGAGATGGCAGAAGGTGCATGGCGCAATTGAAGAGAACTCTTTTCAGTCTTTTCAGTCACCATCCACACCTTGAAAGTGTGGTCTCCTTTGTGAAACATTGAGCTTCCAAGTTGCAGAAGTATGTGACTTCAAAGCAAGTGCCCAAAGGCCTATTCGATTTGTCATGGACAGTGTTCACATGAAGCTGCACCCTTCTCGACATGAAGCTGCACCCTTCTCGCTGTGGCAGCTCGTCGCTCTTTCGCTTTGTCCAAGATCCCCTGGTCCAAAGTCCGGCGCTGCAAGCGCCCTTGAGACTACTTGAGACACAAATCCCCCTTCTTCGAGTGTCTTGGATCCTGAAGTCGCATGAGATGATCAAGCCTTCGCAGCCCTTCTTCGCCAGCGAAGAGGGGTACACAACAACTCTGTTCAGCTTGGCTCTGCGTCACATGGTCATGAGGTTGCCATAAGATCCTTGGCCTTGCCTTCCCCTCCGAGGCGGCTGAAACGGCGATAAAGAAGGGATCTAGGTCAGCAAGGAGTTTGTCCACCGCTTTGTGATGAGCCCAGATGCACTTCACAATGAAGCTGCACCTCATCCCTCCATGTGGCCACTGCCTCCGGAGGTCCATTTCGAAGACATACCGGACTTGTGGGAGCCAAGGCGTGCAGAAGGAACTTCGGTGCTCCAAAGCTCTGGACACAACTGATCTTCCGAAAACGGATTTCTTGATTCTTTTTGCGCACCAAAAGAATCTGCAGAAGTATGCCCATCCTGGATGGAGCTGGCAGAGACAAGTATGCGGCTTACAGTTTACAACGCTTTAGATAAGTATTCTTTGGCCATTGACTTGAGGAAATGTGGTCTAAGGATCTTTAGGGAAGCTGAGACTCTAAGAATTTGGCCCCCGGAAAAGCCGGAACGCTCTGCAAGCCAGTCGGAACGTTCAACCAAACAATGCTGCACCTCAACCACAAGTTTGTGGCCCACGACAGGAAGTCTGAGGAATGGCAAGCTTCATTGAGACAGGAAAGGGTGTTTCATTGCGAACTCAGCAAGGCCTTTGCGGAACTTGCTCCTTTGATCATTGCAGTGAGAGGCCGTCATTGAAGAAATGTCTTGTTCCAGCCAGGAAGCCAACACATACAATCCGCATCCGCAAGTGTTGCATTCTGCTTGGAACAACTTGAGAGTGTCAAGCGTGTCTATCAGGCTCTGCCTTCCTTGATCCTGACCTAGAACCCCAGGTGAGATTTGCCAGAGTGTACAAGACTCAGGATGGTTGCACAACGCTTGACGGCACACGTGCAAAATATATAATGCCCGCTATCATTGCAGCAGCAACACCTGAACAGCTGATGTAGCACGGACCTGACCTTCTGCCAAGCTTTTGCCAAGAAGCATAGAGATGTCGATTTGCCTTTTGATCACGGGAGTCTCTCAAAGATGGTTTACCTTCCGCTGGTAAGCCAACTGTGAATGCAGATGCCGGCAGGTTTTCGGTGTTTCTTTGGTTGTGGCGATGCCGGTGTCATCGATGTTTGGAGAGACCCTTCCGGAGACCTGTCGTCGATTCTGTTGCAACGTGGAATCGAAGCTGCTGCCGCTGCCAGCATTTCACGTCTCGAAGACTAAGAGGTTGAGAACCCGACAGGTCCTCAGTGCAGCTGGAAGGATTTGTTCGAAAAAAACACATGCACTGAGCCGAACAGCATTTGTTGTGTATCGGGAAGATATTTTCAGACCATCGAGACATCTTCCAAAGCTTTTTGGCTTTTCAAGGTGCTTTCTTTGAGCTGAACTCCCATACTGCGCAGGTGCCATGTGAGACCATGCACCAATTTGTGGCCTCTTAAGTGATTTAGGCAATATTTTTGATTTCTCGAAGCAACAACCAATATCTTTCTAGGTTCGTTGGGATTTGTCCCTGGTGCACAATAAGACCTATCTTGGATTTAAAGATTTGGTGTAGCCACTATCTCACCAATAGACCTCTTACACATAGTCGCTTGATCACCTGTAGCAGATGATAACAGTTTAAGGGTAGTTCAATATGGAGGATGTCTTTTCGAAGCATTCCTGTTCCAGATAAGAACTGCACCGACTATGCAATCCCGCCATGAAAAGACTGGGTGCTGGGTTTGACATAGAGCAGGTGAGTGTGCGGACCGATATAGCACTTCTGCAGCATGAATTGGTTGCCGATATAGCACTTCTCAGATCTTCATGAGAAAGAGCAGCCTGAGAGTAAATGGACACCTTGCTGAAACGCTTGAAAAGGCACTGGCCATCTTTTTGGCTCGACAGGTCACTTGCGCAGCGTGAAGTCATCAAGGTGGTGAGTTTGGAACGGCCTGCAATTCGTCTCTCACGCGCACGGTGCTCACGCTTGGAAAAGATTCAGGAACCCGGAGGAGCCGGAGGCCTGAGACCCACCCAGAGGGAGTCATTTTCGGCCTTTTTGCCAGCTTCCTGGCAACAGTGGTTTGTGCTGGTGCTTCCGGGCTCGGACCGAGCACCGCGACCAAGCACGGTCCGAGATTTCCACAGCTCGCTTCCTTGGGTATACTAGGCCACTAGGCTCAGGAAAGCCGAAGAAAACATGGGCACCAAGCAGTGTGCCCACTGCTCGGTGCCTTCTCGTGGGCCCACAGATCGCGCAGAGAACAAGCTCTGATCAGTTATGCGAGTCGCGTATTCAGCCACCTTTGCATTCCGTGGATCCTTAGTTCTTGAATACAGGCGTATTCGTTTTGAGACCCAAGTGTCTAAATTGCCCGAGGGCTAGATTCCTTAAGTCCTATAGCTTGTGGACATTTCATAGGAGAGCACGCACACCAAATAGGTCCAAGTCCAAGTCAAGCCTCCAGCTTTTTCGTGCCAGCTTTTTCCACCCATTGCAATCTTTGGGCGTTACCACTCGTTTCATCTTTGCAATCTCTTCGCACGTTTTTACGGGCAACCCCGTAGGGTACGCTGGTCCGGCCCTGCACCAGATGGACAGTTTCGCTCGTCCTTTTTCAGGGCTAAGTCCGGTTTTTTGGGCAGCAGCGTCTGTGTGAATGCACTGCGAGACAAAGACGGGGGGTCTTCAAAACCTTTCTGCAGACTTTCTGGGACTTTCATGAACAAATGTATGCTTGGTTCTTCTTGTGCACAAGGCATTCCAAGGGTCCCTTCGCAAGATTGATTTGTGAGAGAGTCATTCCTACCTCACCTTTGGAGGCTGCTCCATTTCTCCTAAAAAGATCGTGTCAAGCATCCTAAAACACGACAAAACTGTGTCTTTTTGCCTGCTGAGCAGGTGGAAGAAACTGAACAAACAGGATTCATTCTTCCTCCGTCGACTCACCGTTTTGCGGCCGATGTTTTGTGGCATGACGAGCGAGCGAGCGACGTGGCGCATTCGTCCCACCGAGCGCAAGGAGCGCAAGAAACTCGCCGACTGGCGGTGCAAATGCCACGAAGGACGCACGCCAAAGCGAGGTGATTGGAGTGCTTCCAGTGCCAAGACGCCGCGAGTGAGCTGTGTCTTGAGGGCTGGAAGCCGCTAGTTACACCACCTGAAGCAGCTGGTTTCGGTTCCCCGCCAGACAACCGAGTGTCCTGCAGACATCACCGAGATCCCCGAGCAGTAGATGGATCAGGCAAGCACCTTGGAGTTTCCCCAAAGTTGGGTGATGGGCCTGTGACCAGACCTGCACATTTGGCAGGGTGCATTGGAAGCGTCCATTGTGGCTCCTTTCATTCTGTGCAGATTTCTTTCAAAGAGGCTTTTCCGCTTCGTCCAGCCTGGGCTGTAACAATGCATGCGAGGAGAGTAGCGCCAGCTGTACAAGTTTGCCTGGTGCCACCAAGAGAAAATGTTGCACCCACCTAGCTCCTCAGCAATCTCACTACTTGGTAGGGTCTGTGTGAGTGTGACGGCACAAGATTTGACGCGAACTGATACTCAGTCAAGCTGTTTGACAGCACGCTAGTGCAGCATTGTGCACCTTTACATCGTTTCCAAGGAACTGGCAAGAAAAAGCCTTGGGACGCTAGTCACAAGTACCGGAGTGGCACCAGATCGATCTCGACATCAGATTGCGGTACTCGGCCCTTCTCGAAGAGCATGTTCAATCTTTTGCCCAGTCGGTCGGAGAAGGCAATGATCAGGAATTCACCAGGAAGTGGTCCTAGGGTTCATGATGTCGTGGACCTTGACTCTGTGAAAAAGACATGGGCTTCCTTGGAAGTGTTTAGCTGCCAAAGTTAAGCGATCTTGATATCTCTAATGACACCACGTCAATCCTCGGCTTGGTTTTGCAGGGCAGTGGCCCTCATTTCTGCCCAGGTGGAAACGTGAAGAGCAGTCTTCGCGAGGGAGAAAGTGCTTTTACTTTGGCTCCGTTTACTGGCTTTGTTGCAGAGTTACGACTTCTTCAGTCCATGGACAGTGGGGAGGTGTCATGGATTGTGTGTAGCCTTCATGGCCTTGTCCAGGGGGGTGGTCTAGCAATGTCGCAGATCGCTGATTTTCGTGTGGCAGATTCTGAGACGAGCTATGTCTTGGGAAACTTGTCCCGTGGCGCAGTGCCGTGCATGTTGCTTTCTGGACTACTTCCCTTGCGTTTTTCATCATTGGCTGAAGCGATGGCTTTCTACTTAGAAGATACCATCCTTGACATGAGCAGTGCATTGTCACTAGATCTTGTTCAAGAAGTTTTATCATCAGTCTCGAGATCCAAAGAAGCTGCGTTTCGAGCTGCCTCGGAGATACTGCCTGCAGCCGCCTGGCGAAGGTTGGCCTTGAGGCCACTGATAGATATCCATCGTTTTGCACAAGAATCCTATGCCCTCCAGCTGTCCTTGAAGTGTGGCGAAGCATTTCAAGTGGATCGAGAGCGACAGCTTCCGGCCCCAAATTCGAGCGAACGAAGGCGACTTGAAAGACGAACGAAGGACTCGGTCCATCGGAAGGTTGGCCAAAGGTCCGAAGGACTCGAAGGGGCCGAACGAGTAGAGCCCTGGCGATCCTTGCCGTCAGTGCATCTGACCCTGCCACGTCGTGTGGTGGAGATCCTCGCGGAGGTCTCTAGGAATCGCTGGAATGTTCCCAGACCAAGACCAGATCAGACCACGCGGCCCAAAGAGGTCCAAGCACGTTCGTGGAGCGTTGTGTTTCGTGACCTTGAGGTCCTTCAGAGGCTTCTTGACCTGTTCCGTACAAAGGAATCGTTCCCGATGGGGTCCACGGTCTGTGAGTTGGCGCGTTCAAAGATACACCAAGTCCATTTCCGCTCAACCAGCATCAAGAAGCTGACCAGTGGACATCAATTTCAGGAAATCCATGCTGCCAAGGATACCCCAGATCAAGACAGCTTGATGCTTCATTCAGTCACAAGTATTTGTACAAGATGGAACTTAGCTCAGGCATGCGCTCTTGCATAAACTAAAATGGAGGTGAAAGGAAGTTTATCTCCATGTACCAAGTTCTAAACACAAGCTAACTAGGAGTCTCTATGGTCTTAATTATATAAGCAACTTAACATCATAAATCCAAGAGTTTGGGAAGAAGAAGAGTAAGGCAAAATACATCGAGCTCAACAAGCGATCGGCTGCAGAGCAGATTTGTAGGGTACTGAGCCGACATTGTCAAGACCGAGACACTCGTCAGACTTTGACTTGAGTGGTTAAGCAGCGGCTGAGCAGTGGCCAAGCAGCGGCTCAGCAGCGGCTCAGCCCAAGTTTCAAGTCGTCACAGACAACTCCACTCACTCCACTTACACCTGTCAGTGCCCTTGAGCCTCTCCCCGGTCCTTTCAACTCAAGACTCGGAGCTTTCTGTCCTCAGAGCTTTGACGCCCCAAGCTTTGACAGATTGAGGAATCGCAAGCTTCAGGGGTCTATGCATGCAACGAATGTGTCTTGGGCTTTGCGGTCACCTTTGGACAAGACACCCAGTCCCCTGTATACCCTCTTTTTGCACGACTGGACTGGGTTGAAGGAGCAAAAAGTCCAGTCGCTCAATGGTTCCACGCAGAAAGCGAAGTCCAAGAGAGCCAAACTGCTGACGCCCGAGATCTTTCGCAAGCTGCGCGAGCGCGGCGAGAAAGAAGTCTCGATCACCCGCGGAACTCCGAATGGCAACGGGGAGTTGCGGGAAGCCGGAGAAGCTCCTCGTCACCAGCGGTTCTCCATTTGATCGAAGGGGACCAAGCAGGCAAGGACTGGCGAGCCGCAGGCTAGCTGCAGCTTCCATTTGCTTGCAAGGTTCCGGACCTCATTTTTGTCCCGGGGGGAATCCGCAAGCTACTAGACGCTTTGGGGAGACACTATTCCAAGTGGAGCCATATAGCATGTTCCTGGCCATTTTGCGTCTACAGGAGTTTGGCGGTCCAATTTCTGCTACTTTGCAAGGTTTTGTTTTAGGAGGTGGCTTGGCTATGGCCATGCTGGCAGATTTGCGGGTGCTTGACAGTGGTGCGAGCGTGTCTCTAGGGAACCTCTCCCGTGGCATGGTACCCTGCATTCTACTGTCTTTAATTCTTCCTCGTGGAATTGGTCTGGCCGAGGCAGTGGATCTTTACCTTACCGACAACATTGTTTCTGCTGCTGTTTGGCTGGAGAACAGTCCATGTGACATTCTGGTGGATGGTGTGGCCAAGGCGGAGGCCTTTGTGCAGGAACTGGAGAGGCGCAAAACACAAAGGCCTCCGGTGGTCGACAGCACTTTCTCCATTCGTTTTGCATGCGAAGCAGCTGCACTGCAGCTGAGCCTTCGATGTGAGGTCCGGCATATCGCTGCAGTAGCACCGAAGGCTAAGGAGGATCCTCAAATTAGTGAAGGCTGGGAAGCAGGCACAGTTTCCAAGACAAGTGACAGTGTGACAGTGCCTGATGGGCGTTGCCCCTGTCTCAAGTTTCCAAAGAAGCTCAGATGGAGCGAATCATCCTGCTTCCAGAGTCTTTGATGGGTCATTGATCCCTCGACAGCCGCAGACTAGGAAGCTTCCGCGACACTTCGCTCCGAGAAAACACCTGCCGAATTGGAGAAGCGGACTATGGAGAAGAATGGAGTGTTTGTTAAACGAGCTTTTGAAGTGAATAGACATTCTATGTCTTTGCGGCTTGGAAGAACAAGCAGCTGGTCGACCAGCTTGTTACTTGATGTCCGGGCCAGAAAGGTGAATCACATCGAGTGTAACAGCTTGTTACTCGATTCCATTCAATGAACAAGTCCTTGGTCGGACGGAATTCAACCAATGAGAGCTGTAGGAACCATTCAACCAGTCCGATGTCCGCATCGATCTGGTCACAGGCCAAGAGGACCGGTCCGAGACGGAGCTCCGTGAGAGCGCTTTTCATGCCATGATTCTTGATACGCAAGAAAGAGAAGCTCGGTCGATTTTTCAGCTCTGAGATCTCTGAGATCTCATCATTGGGGGTTTTCAGGAACTGACCTGAAAAACACAATGGGCTTTCTCGTTCCGCAAAGCACTGCCACTCTGCACCAGAGGAGCTGCTTAATATCTTGCAAAATTCAAGCTAGATGGTGAGTTGAGCCTGCGGTCGACCCCTGGGCGAAAAATTGCACCCCCCTTGTTTTGAGTGCACAACCAGCTAGGTCCAAATAAATTAATAGTCTGGTCTGTTTCACCTTCCTAGCAAATAGAATTGACCGTCACTCATTTTTGCATGTCTTCTCTCAAAAGGAATTCTACTCGGCGTACCCCATCTACGTTCACCAGTCTGTGCATCCTTTGATTTGTAAGCTGTTGCACGTTCAAGACTGTAAACTGCGTCTTGTATCCTCCACAAATGCTCTGTTCTTTGGAGCAGGAGAGCTGTGCAGCTTGCCTGGCCTGCACTCCTCTCCTCGCTCAATGGTTCCAGTGTGACAACGATGTCACCAACTATTCTTTCGCCTTTGCAGAATTCCGTGAGACCTCGCCAGAGATTTCAGGGAATACCTGGAGCCTATTGAAAACGAGGAAGACTTCACGATGGACTCGTGTAAAAACATCCTTGGCTTTTTTGCTACGATGGCTATGGGATGCCCAAAATCAAATTTTTACGATCTCACGGTGGTCCTAATTGGTCAGAAAAGGCTGATAAAAGAAGGACCCGTGAGAAGAGTGTGTACGAGGTCAACAGTTTTGCAAACATCATCCCTCATAGCATCAACCACAACAGCACTTCATTTGTAATTGCGCATGGTGAGCATCATGCCACAACAGCAGACTCTTCTTGACCACCACTGCGCCATCATACCTTTGCTTGTTTCCTTTACATGAAAACAGGATTGCCAGCTGCGAGAGAGTTTCAATAGAGTTTCGATTTTTAAAGCGAATAAGACGTTTCTACTCACGTAGAGTTTGTGAGAAAGGAGGCAGTGAAGACCTGCCAAACCAGCGCATTCCAAAATGGCCAGTGCCCAGTTTGGTGCTGATGCATTGGATCTACAAGGCTCTTTTGCAACTATATGTGCGGCGGGCTCACGTGGCGTACCTTTGTTAGCTCTCACCTTGCGTGGCTTTTTAAGCCAACGTTTGGAACTTGAAAGGAACACACAGCAGGCTTTGTATGCTGTAAAATGCCCAATGAGGGCAGCTTGAGAACAGGAGACTCGCGGCAGTCCTTGCGACCTTTGCGACATTAGCGCCATTGCAACTTTACGCTGTGTTCAACACCTCCAACGTATGCTTGCGATCTTTAGCTTCGAAGATCGGCAGCTTTGTGGAGTCTTTGGGGTAGGTAAGGGGGCAAACCTTTGACATGCACTCCTTCCAAGATTTCTGCGCCAAAGCTCCAAAGGATGGAGCTGAGGCTAAGTAAGGTAACACTAGCCAGCAGTGTGCTGCCTTTGGTTATGTTTCTTTTCCAGCCAAGACAAGCTGTATGCAGGACAGAGAGTTGGGGCCGTATGTAGACCGGTTTGCCATCATTAACACACAAAAAGACGTGTCAGGGAGAAGTTCAGCAGTCCTGACAAATGCCACGAAGAGCAAAGGCACACCTCTAGCAGTTTGCACCTCTTGAAATAAAGGTGAGCGTCCTTAGCATCCTTGGCATATTGGACTTTGGGCTTTATGCCTTGATTTCGCATGGCGGATGCCTGCTCAACAATTAAACCGCAGGTTGGGCACGCTCTGCCCGCACATCCTGTGTTCAATGCAGGCTGTGCACCAGGACACGTCTTCGGTTGTCCACTCGTGCAACGAGGGCTGTGGAGTTTTGCCTTCATTCGTTTCGTACAAAGCGCTACTGGTGACTTCTACCTCGAAGAAGACACCAAGGCAGCACTGGTGGCACAAGACTTTTTAGTCTTTTACTGGGTTGTTGATGGTCCATTTTGATTCAACTTTACTGTTTCTTCGCTTCTAGGAATCACGAGTCGGAGTCAGGTGACGAGGGCGGTCTCCGTGGGCTGCTGAGAGGTGCGCGGCGCCGTCTAACGGCGCCTCTATATAAAACATGGTGAAACCGTGTTGAAGGCTCACAAAAAAGCGGGATTTTCTCGTGTCCATCAGGCAAGTGAAGGCAAGTGATGGCAAGTCCTGAACATGTAAGAAGATCTCCAGGTCGCTCATATGAATGATCCAATGCTTACCAAGCCCTGCTGCATCCACATGTGTCTTGGCCGCATATGCTTGGTTCCACCCTCCACGCAAGAAGGGCTTGTACTTCTCACCAACTGAGTTGCTCGCGCAACGGGTTCAGATTTGAAAAAAACACTGTCGATGTGGGTCAGTTTTGATGACATGTCAGGCAGAATGGCATGCACAGGATTTGTTGTGCATCCCTGAAAACTTCCGTCCGTACACACATGCAGACAGACGGAGTTGCCCAACCGGTATGGCGTGGATGTCATCCTTTGTACATCACGGACGGAACCAGAAGGTGAAGATAACTTCACAAGAGATGACAACTGAGACAGAGAGAGAGAGAGAGAGAGAGTGAGTGAGTGAGTGATCACTACAAAAGCATTTTCAAGCTGTGGCCTTGACCAAGCCAAACCGCTGCTTGTGTTTTCCTGTATGTGTATATTCAATCATTTAAGGTAGGCAGGGTCGGTGATGATGAATTATTTGGGAAGCTTCGAATCAACGTCTCCCAATGTTTGAATGCTCAAGCCAAACTGGGGAGACGCCCCTTGAGGAGCAGTGTCGCTGCTGGTACCTCAAGTTAAACTTTTTCTTCCCGTTTCGGACGCCATGGAAAGCGCTGACGAACAAATCCGCCGCTCTGCTGAACAGCAGAAGCTGGAGCGGTGGTGCGCTGCCCATGGGATTGAACGGCCCTCCGATTTTTACCTACGAAGAAGCGCTGAAGCAGGGCCGCGCTGTGGCGGACGCCTGGGATCAGGCGCGCCGCGAGGCGGAGCTGGGCGCGGGGGCCTTGGTGCGAGACATCGTTCGTCGAGAACAAGTTTCGCAAGCTCAAGCTGCGCCGCGACCCACCACATCTCCACCGTTGAGGCCACGACCTACTCCATCGTTTGCAGGGCCCGTCCGGCCCAGCACCCAGGGCCGTCAGTCGGGCGGCCCTGACGGCGGTGCATTGACCTTTTTGCCCCAGTTGATGGCTATCCTTCTGGCGGTCGAGCCCCCGCCGGCGGCTCGCTTGGCTGAGATCACCGCCAACTTCGAGGCAAAGCTCACGCATGTGCTCCAGAAGGCGGAGGCCGCAACTGTGAAACGGGCTTTGCACACGTGGCAAGAACTTCAAGGGGTCATTGCGGCCGCAGGTGGAGGTATTCCGGACAAACACCTCCTGGCCACCTTCATCAGGGAGCACACTTCACCTACAAGGGCATATACGGCTCTGGGTGGCTCGTCCGCAACCTCAAGTTGCCATTCGACCTCTCCGAAGTGGTGAAACCTCGGGCTGGTTTGGGATCGCGCCTCGGCCAGGGGCAGGCGCAGGCGGCGACTTTGGAGCCATCTATGGTCATCCACCTGTTGGGTACCCTGGAATCCACCGTTGACAGTCCTCACTGGCCCATGGTGTTTTGTGCCTACGCCCTATGTTTTGGTGTGGTCAGGTACACCCATTTGCAACGGAGCTACTTGGTCGGCGGTAACGGGGGCATCCTTGTGTTCTGGTGCACGAAAGGTAAGACTGGCAGTCGGGGAGGCTTCGCCTGGAGCGTTCCACGGTATTGTGGCACGTTGGACCTCCTACAGGTGTTGGGCGCCCATTTGAACAAAGTGCGCCCCAGAACAGGCGCCGGTTTCAGGCGCTGGCATTGGTTGGGGTTCGACTCCGCTACAGCCCAGCCGGTGGGCACAGCGCAGTGTGTTCGGATCCTACGACCATACCTGAGTACGGCTATGGACGTTACCAGCCTCTCGTCCTATTCGTTCCGCCGAGTGCTTCCGACATTGGCAGGGTATGTGGGGTTATCGGAGACAGAGCGACTCGCTCTTGGACAATGGGTGGATCAGTCCTCCAAGTCTACGGCTACCACCCCTCTTCGTTATGACTCACGGAAACAACGCCTGGGACACCAGTTGCGCCTGGCCGGTTTGCACTTCTTCCAGGACCTCAACATGGCTTTGTGGGACGAACTGCCGACAGGCTACGCCTCTGCACGATGGTCCACTTGCATGGAGGAGGCTGACGAGCTCCTTGCTTCTGACCCCCAGATCCGCCGCGTTTCTACGGACTCCACTCCTGGCATGCCTGTGGTCAAGACCCTGCTTCCAGCTCAGGTCCAGATCATTCGAGCTACCGGCCAACGCCTCACCGCCGCGCTCAGGCGGAAGTGCCCGGCCCCAGCTGCGGCTGCCGGCCCGGTGACCGAGCCCACACAGGGGCCGAGGAACACGGTGTCAACATTTTCGTTCACCAGTCCTTCGCGGCCTGCGAAGCGGGCACGGGTGGAGCCTCCACCCAGGGCTGCTGCTGGCGGCAGCGCCCAACCGGTGACGCCGCCCAAGGCACCTCCGCCAAAGGTGCCACCTACGCTGCCTGTGGTTTCGCCCTCATCAGCTTCGGCATCTACTCCATCTTTGCGGGCACCACCACCTTTGCCGTCGACCTCACCTCGGGCATCTTCATCTTCGGCAGCAGCGGGCCCTTCCAGCACGTCACCTCCGGCCCCCAAAGTCAAGGCCATGCCCTCAGTGCTGCAACCGTCGCCTGAGCGGCCTCAGCACCTGCAGGAGAGCAGCAGCACGGGACCGCTGGCGCCGGCCGGGCACAGCGGCGCCCCAGAGCCTCCCACGCTCATTTTCCTGGGTGAAGCTGGCAACGGCTCTATCTATTTGGGCGGCCTGCCCACTGACCGGGCCTGGTTGGAGGCCCACCACATCGGCATGAGCCTCAGCGCTATGGACAAGATTGCCGCTCACTGTCGGGGAGGGGTCAGCGCCCGCCAGGTCTACCAATTTAACGTTCCTGTTGGCCATCAAGGAGCCCTCCGTGACCGCCAGTTGAAGTTGGTGCTGCCTATCTTCCTGGCAACTCTGTATTCAGGCTATTCCGTACTGGTTCATTGCATGGCGGGGGTGCACAGGGCCCCTGTGCTGGCTGGTTTGCTAATCGCATGGATCAGGCGGTGCTCCTTCGGAAGCGTACTCCCGCCTGGAAGGTTTGCGGGCTATCGACCGAGCCGGTGTGCTCAGCCGGCGGGGCGGCTCTGACATCTTCAAATGGGCTCGGAGCCAGGTCAACATCACACCGCCGTCCCTGCCGAGGTACCCAATTTCATTCATTACCTCAACGAAAGCAGGATCGCATTGGCATGTGGAGCGTGACAACGCTCCCTGGTGCAGATGGCGCCAACGCAATGCTGCTTATCGAGGCGAAGTCCACCGAGCTCGCAGCATTCATGAGGCCTTGGCCTACGGGCGAGATTTCTGTACCACGTGTAAAGCAGTGCTTCCTGGCAATGCCCAGGTCCACTTGTACTAATAGCTGCCGTCCTTCAGAAACAGCACGCCTACCGGGTAGGCCGAGAGGGCGTCTCGTTTGCTACGCAAGTTTTTGCCTCATCTAGGGACTCGGCGGTCGGCCCGATGAGTAGGTCCCTCCTCTGAACGTCGATCAAGTTTTACAGTCAGTTCTTGCATGTTTGCTGCAGCCTCTCGTGTCCTCAGTGAACTCCGCACTACACGCCCACACCTTGTGCCAATGGACCGGCCTTTGACACTTGGAGGGCGAGGCCAGACGGGCCCGTGCTTGGGAGGTGGGGGATCAGATGGACCGGCCTTGAGGGCCTTTCCCCCGACCTCCACCTCTTGTCTAGGGGTGGTACAGGTTCAGTTGCGTGCTGCACGGAACCTATGCGAATCATGGATTGAATGGTGGGACGAGATCCAAGACCTGCCCAGGGAGGCAGCACGCCCAGAGCCTAGGCTGGAGGGGCTATTGTGGCCGCCGGCCCCGAGACCTGGTACTTTGCCTCCCTACGCCCCATTGGTCCATACTACATGTGATGATTTGGCGCGTCATCATGATAGTCTCCATGAGGCTGATCGCGCTACGTTCCGTCAGTTGCTCTATACCGCCCACTACGAGGCCCACGCGGCAGGCGAGGCTATCGGTTGGCCAGCGCTGCAATGCCTGAGCTTGGAGCTCGGGGAGCTTGCAAAGCGGCTTCAGTAGTTATGCCGTGAACGTCTTTGAGTTTTTGAAAAAAAAGGGTTGACACTTGTGCTGTGCTCCATTTGCTATCAGCTGTAGCATCGCTTTGTTGTTTGGCAGCCTCCGCTCATTCTTGTCTTATGTGACCTCCCGCAGCCATCTTTGCTCTCCATCGTTCGTTGATCCCGCCGTCTTCTTTTGTGGATCATGGCCACCGTCCCCAAGCAGCTCGCTACTCCGGAGGACACCTTCACAGCTCTTGCGCTGCAGTTCAACTTTGAGCAGCGCATTAAAGACAAGATCATTGAGTTGGGAATTCGCACTATTGCGGAGTTCCGCCGCTATGCTCGCAGTGAGGATGAAATCAAGAAGCTTTTCATCGATACAATCAAGGATCCTGCCTATGAGGAGATGCAGGGGCGCCTCCAGGCTGCTAGGCTGCGCTTCGCTTGGACGGCGTGCAAAGCCTTGCTGGACTCCGAGCACGCAGCGGCCAGCCTGCCTCCAGCTCCGACGGAGGAAGAGACGCTGCTTCCCAAACAGGAGCTCGAACAGTTGAAAGAGGCTTTCTTTCGACGCTACCACTTGCGTCCAGAACCTCGCCAGTATCCCTCTGACCGACTTCTGTCTAGGCTCAGCCGACAGCTGACTCGGAGCCAGTTCGAGGTCATGGATTTGTGGACGGTCCGCTCACTCACCTTCCAGCGCACTCACAGCCAGAAGCGTCGACGCCTGACGGGCAACCTGTATCTCCAGGAGGATGATGAGGACGAGATCACCGCCAAGTCCTGGCTTTCCTACATGGCCAAGATGGACACCTACTTCTTGGCCCTGGCTATTGTGGGGTGTCGCCCCGTGGAGCCGGCGCCGTCTGCGCCTGAGTCGCTCGGTGCAGACAGTGTGCACCTGCTGTCCTACTCCAGCCGCTGCCATGACTTGATTCTACGCACCCCGGAGGGGCGGCGCCTGCAGCTGGTCCAACACCTTGATGTGGAAGAGCGCGGTCAGTGGGCGGCTCGGTGCACGGGCCACACAACCCTCGGCAATGTTATCAGCGCCATCATGAGGGAGCGTGACGCCCTTTGGTTGGCCGGGGCCCTGCCAGCCCCCAGCATCACCACGGGTACAACTACTGGCGGCGCGTCACCCGCCAAGGCCCCCCCTGCGGATGCAGGGCCGGTGGGGTCGGTGGTTTTCAGCCTTCGTGATGGAACGCAGCTTTGTCAGGCATACCAGCGCAATCAGTGCCGCACCAAGAAGAACTGCCCACGTGGTGCGCACCGCTGCGGCGTCGTGTTGCAATCAGGACGGGTCTGCGGGTCTTACCAGCACTCGCCTTCCGGATGTCCCAAGGCTGCTTGAAAAGAGGGCCGCTCCTCTGTTGGGGGGGGGGCGAGGCAAATCTTTGGACACTCCTGTCTTTCATGACTTTCGTTCATTTTTGGCCGAGTTGGAGTCCACTGATATGCACAAGACCGAAGCCTCACCCTGCCCCGTCCTCCTTGATGTGTTCAGTGGGGTCCATGCACCATTGTCCAAGGCCTTCCTGTGGTGCCAATGGGAGATCATCACACCGATTGACATCGAGATCGACCAGGACCTGGACGTGTCGCGTCCGGCGGTCCGTCGGGCTATTCAAGCTGTACTTCCTCGGGTGGCCACTATTGCGGGGGCTATGAGTTGTGCTACCAAATCAAGAGCTAGGGAGAAGCGGCCCGGCCCCCCTCCTCTACGGTCCGAAGAATACCCAAGGGGTCTACCAGGACTGGACGCGGGACAACAGGCACGGGTCGATGCTGACAACTACTCCAGTGATTATCTGTTGGCCTTGCAGCACAGAACCTCGCATGTCTTCGCGAGAACCCGCTCAGGTCTCTGCACTGGTGGGACCCGGTCGAGCAGTTCCTGTGCCAGGATGATGATTGGCAGGATTTGGACTACGACGCGTGCGTCTTCGGGGGAGCTCGGCGCAAAGCCCAAAAGTTCCGCCACAACATCCGTGAGTTAGCCTCCCTTCCGGCCGTTCGATGTGGACACATTCATGACCCCAACGAGTGGCGCTCGTCGGGTAATGGGCAGTTTTCCACCTTCAACGAAGCGGAGTACACACCTAGTTTGGTCTTCACCCTAGCGGTATGCTGCACGGCATGGGCTGCGCGACAGGGCTACGCGGTATCCTAGCCATCCCAAGACTACCGCCCATTACCACCTCAGGGGACGTACGACCACTGCTCCATTTCGAACCGTCCGAGCTGCGAGAAGACCTGATGAATGTCATGGGCTTCCACCTGCGCCTTGCACCACCGCGAGAGGACTCGTCCCAGGTGCCCACTCGTCAAGTCGCATTTGATGTGTTACAGCTGAGGTCACAACTCACAGACATGGACGTCTATATCGGCCCCGGGCACTTTTCCCATCGTTGGCCGCTGACACCATGGCAAAACCCCTTCCGGACAGGGGAAGGCAGGACTGCTCTTGAGAGTGTTCTTCACTACGCCAGATGGATAGCCGACCAGGACCATCTTCTGACTGACCTCCCATCCCTGCATGGCAAGACTCTGGTGTGCGACTGCCCCCACAACGTGCTATATCATGGGGATATCATTCGAGCCTTGGTTTGGACCACTTCACGTACTACCTCGCCCTCAGGCCATTCCCATCCCACCAGGGAGCAGTTGCGACGGGTCTCACTTATTGCTGCCGGCATCCGCCCCGCCAGGGCAGTCCCGCTGCGTTTCTCTCAAGGAAATTGTGGTGGCCAGCCTCATGGCCCTCTGTCCGGATGTCAGTTGGGAGGGATTCCAGTGGCCAATGCTCGAAGACCTGCTAGTGGATGACTCGCGCTACCAATGGCTCAACTACATGCAGAGCCGCCCAGACTGGGACGGACACGCCTTTGGCCCACGGTTGGTGGGCCCATTGGAGCGCAGTGGCCTTCAGCAGCCCGGAGCGGCTGCTGCTGCTAAAGCCTTACCACCTATGATCCCCTTTGGCGTAGGGGAGGAGCGACATTTTGAACTCGCCCTTGGAACTGCAGCAGAGACCTACCCCATTTGAAACCATGGGTGTTGTCGATGATGACCTGATCTTTGCAGCATCTGGATATGCAGCCCAGGGAGTGGGCCTTCGTCAGGTGAGGAGACGTACAAGCCGTTGGCTCCGAGAACTGAGTCGTCGAATGTGGCCTATCACCTACCACCTCCAAACCTATCAGCCACCACCTGTCCGATCAGCCACCCGAGGTCGCCACATCGCCCTGATTGGGCTCATCATGCTGATTACCGGATGGCCAGACACTACGTTCGTGGCCAACTGATATATGGATTCCCCGCCGTGGGCTTTTCCCCGCACGTGCCCGTCTACAAGGCTCAACCAGCCCACTACATCCCGGACGCCTCCATCTACCAGGACGCCCTGCCAGAAGCTGCCCGCATCATTCAAAGCCTTCGTCCAGGTGAACACGACACGGCTATTGTCCAGGCGGGTGAGGAGGACCAAGCCAAAGGCTTTTGTGGCCCCCCAATGACATGGGCCCAACTGTGCCAGGAACTCCCCCAATTCAGACTGATCCGAAGGTTTTGTATACAGCAACCATCTGGTAAGCTGCGAGTCATAGATGACGCTGCAGACGGAGGGCAAAGTGCACTCAGCTCCGATGCGAACAAGTTGGATCTATGTACGAGCATTCAACCTGGCCTCCATGTTCAACTGCTATGGCAGGCAGCATCATCTTCGGCTCATGCGTCTGAGTTGCTGCAGGCTGGTATTTGGTCCGGGGGCGAGGACTTACCCAACGCTTACCGCTATGTTCCCATGAAGCCGGCACATAGCAACATGGCCGTGGTAGCCTACTACGACCACCATGTTGGTGGCCCCCGTTTTCGGCAATACTATGGTTCTCTGTTCGGGTTACCAAATGCTGTATGTTCGTTCAATCGATTTCCCCGATTCTTCCAAGCTGCATGCCGCCGCCTGGCCTATTGCATGACCAGTATGTACTTTGATGACTTGACAATCCAGGATTGTGGTATTATGGGCGGCACTGGCCAGGCCTTCGTCAATGAACTCGCACGATGCCTTGGCTCACCCTTCCAAACCGAGAAACATCAGTCCTTGGCGGCCCAGTCTGATTTTCTGGGGCTGATCCACGACGTGGCAGCCTGCCACCAGGGTGCTCCTGTCAAGTTCTGGGCCCGTGACCGATTGCTTACCAAGGTCACCGACATCATGGTGGAGGCCACTCAGACGCGTCGCCTCCCTCCAGGCTTGGCGGCCAAACTTTTTGGCTGCCTGGGATTCTTGACCACGGGATGCTTCGGCAAGCTCGGCCGGTCGGGCCTCCATAGCATCAAGGAAAGACAATACTCCTCGCAAGTCGTGATGACACCGGAGATTGAACAGTCCTTTGATCGAATTCGAGCACTACTTCAGTTGAAGCCCGAAAGAGAACTACCGCTTAATCCAGTGCGACAACACCGGTACTTGGCTGCATCCGATGCGGCGCAAGAGAGGCCTCGCGAGGGTTCTGCGGGAGTCTTGTTCATTGACCCCCGTGGTAGTCGAAGGGCCTATGTCGTCCACATCAGCCCAAAGATCTTCACGGTGTGGTCCCATCATGAGGCCAAGATTGCACAGCTTGAGCTCTTGACAGTCTACATGGGCCTTGCGTACAATGCTTCATCAGCTCGTGGAATGCATGGTATATGGTTTGTTGACAATATCGCAGCACTCATGGCCCTCATACGAGGCCGCAGCAACAACGATGAGCTGGATTCTATGGCCGGGGCTATCCATGGCCTTCTGTTTGCACTCCGTAGTGCATGCTACTTTGAATGGGTCCAGAGTAAGGACAACTGGTCAGATGGCATCAGCAGACAGGGAGAACACGACCCGTGGTTTGAACGACATGACTTTCGTCTCTTCCACACCTACCCCCTGCTCATGCTCCTCCAGCTGCCCTACCACCTCATCGCTCAGGTCTTTCAGTTCGTTTGAGTGCTCTGGATACGTTAGTGCCTTGGATGGAGCGCTCCCACAGGGAGAGTGTCAGATGTCAGATGACACAAGCGACGTGGGTCGCATTTCAAACCAAAGCACTTCAGTACAGACAGTACAGACCTGAATCGATTCGCAGAAAAGGGTAGCAGCAGTCGACATATGTTGATCAAGATTCATCGAATATATTCAATCATTTAAGGTAGGCAGGGTCGGTGATGATGAATTATTTGGGAAGCTTCGAATCAACGTCTCCCAATGTTTGAACGCTCAAGCCAAACTGGGGAGACGCCCCTTGAGGAGCAGTGTCGCTGCTGGTACCTCAAGTTAAACTTTTTCTCCCACCCTGCCACACCCTGTTAGTTACATCCATGTCCACGGCTGACTTGGCTTGTTGCCGGAAGAGTCTGGTTTCCTGGTGATAGCCACTTCACCTTAGGCCTTGCTGGTGCTTGAGGGCCGTGTTTTGGTTACTTTCAGTTACCATGGCTATGCTTGCTACGCTTGCCGCCTGGGCTGCCGGCCACGAGAGACTAGGACTGTGCTGTCTGCCGCTGCCGTCCGGTTGTCCATTTTCGGCTGCCCGCCGCCTAGCCATCATACCTGTTCTGCCGGTCCCAGGTATTGACGATGACTAGGGAGTTTCATTTAATCCTTTCATTTTGCTCTGTCCAGAGCTGGCATCCGTTGTGGCCGTAGGACCGCCCCTGCGGTATCCTCTCGGTCACTAAATACGGATGGAGTGCTCCCACAGGGAGAGTGTCAGATGTCAGATGACACAAGCGACGTGGGTCGCATTTCAAACCAAAGCACTTCAGTACAGACAGTACAGACCTGAATCGATTCGCAGAAAAGGGTAGCAGCAGTCGACATATGTTGATCAAGATTCATCGAATATATATATATATATATGAGGGCTTGTAGTGGGCACACAAAATCCACAATCCAGGCCAATTACATGTTACACTTGTGTCCCTTCGAATCAGCATCCATTCTGCATTTGATTTGAGCTTACCCAGGCCCCATTTACGCCTTCAGTGGTGGCCTTCGCTTAGGGAACTCTTGGACCGCGACTTGCCTGGTTTACTTGGACGAAGAAATGCGCGTCGTTATGGCGTCGCCATGGGCAGTTGAACCTCCAAACGATGCATGCACAGCATTGATGCCAGCTTTGTGCTCACTTTTCATGGAAGAACAAGTAAACTTTAGCAACAAAAGCGTCACAGGGGCAGTTGCATGGAACTGTTTCCGAAACAACCCATGGTGGAAGGCAGCTCGTTGCATCCTATCCGACTTCCTGGTTCTGGGTGTTTGTCCACTCTGGCAAAGTTATGCCATGTACCCAAAGTCGGGCTGAGGCACTTTCCGGAGTGTGGAACGGGGCAATCTATGGTATTGACTTGGTAAGCCAGGCTGGGTTTGCTTGCTCAATCAAAGCTTGACTTCTCAGTGGTCTGTCTCGCACCCACGAGACCCCAAAATGGTCGATTCGGTTCTTTGATCCCTTCAAGGTGCTGCAGTCCAGCTTCACATCAATGGAGCAGATGTCGTTGGTCCTGTCCAATGTGCATGATCCAAATGTGCAGGCCCAGAACTTGAAACTTTCTTGGATGACGTGTGATGCCGTGTTGCACAGCTTGTTGAGTGTTGAAAACAAGCAGTGGTGAACTTGTTTCTCAAGTGAACATCATTTGTTTCTAGCCTTTGTTCATGTCGCAAATCGATGGTGCCAGACTGATCTTCACCTTGAACCGCGTACTTCGCCGCGTTCGTCCGTGGTCAGGTGTCATTGGCCGGTTGGAGTCTGGGGGCCAGAGCCGTCGAGCCACCCAGTGAACCCCCCGTTTGGTCGTCCGACCTGCAGCGAGCTTGAGTCCTCCATTGAGGCGACCCGCTTTGCCGGCGTTTTGGAGCGGATGGGCAGCTGCGTACGAGGGATTTTTGCCTTGGATGTCGAAGTCTCAGAGAGTTCTTGAAATGAGAAGTACATCATATTGAGGACATATCTGGATGCAATGGATATCTCCAGCCTTGGTAGACAATGGATATCTGGATGCTTCATATCGGATATGCTTCAATGCTATCTTCAATCTTCAGCGGTAGACAACGCTTCCAGTCTTTCCAGGACCGCCGTAAGTTACCTTTCTCCCCTGCAGAGGCCCGACGGGAGAGGGAGCTTGTAAACTCTGAGATCTTACAAGGAATAAAGTATTGTTCCGCAACTACTGAGCTGTGCGTTCGGTTTCCGAAACCAACCTTTTAGTTTCCGTTTCCACCACGCTGACCATCTGTCCTGCGTCATGAAGAACGCTGACCATCTGACGCGGGATCGAGTTTCCTTCAGGCACAGCAGTCCATTGGACTCGTGGGTCTACTCTGTGCCGCTGAAACTGTGGCTTGGAGTGAGAGTGAGGGCGGCGGTCGAGGTATCCTATCATACGATACGAGTCGAGGTGAGTTCTTCCTCTCAGGTGCCAGCTTTTCGAGCATCTGCACTCTGCCGGAGTCCCAGACTTTCTTGATTTCTGTGTCGGACCCAAAGTCTTGAAAGAGCTAGAGCTTACACCTCTTCAGGTGTGAATTTTCAGATACAAGTCCAGAATACCGCAGACTCACAGGGCCTCCTCTTTAAGATTCCGAGGTTAGACTTCGTTTGCTCCTTGTGCGATGCTCAGTTTGCTGGACTATGCCTTATCTAGGTACTGCAATGCTTTCTGTGAGGCTGCCAGTAAAAGTTGGCGAAACAGACTGGACTTGCACTTTTCAGGAGGGGATCAATTTGCAAAGCCATTTGGGTGTGTGTTAAAGTAGGGAGACCTCCCAGTTTGAACAATCAACAATGAAACCCTTTGGATGCCGTCTCCCTAATTAAACATACATACCCATAAAGATGCCGTCTCTGAGCTAATCAGACATCATCTCCTGAAGGCCAACACCTTGTGATGTGGTCCTTTCAAGAAACAGAACTGACGCCGTTCACAGGATGACCGAGAGCTGGATAGACGCCGTTCTCTCTACTGCTGCAGCGTTGGCACGTTGGCACTGCGTGGAGCTGGCCACTTCGATGTAGGCCGTGAAACTTTGTGCAGAGCACTTCCATGGCATTCTGTGGATCTGTGATCTGTGGATTTGTTTCGTGTTTTGCAGCCAGTGTTTCTGGTAGATATGCTAACCATGAACTGCTTGCTGCGAGGCATCGCATGCGTTTGGGATTAGCCCGCCAGATTGAGAACTCCTCCGGTCGAGTGCACTTCACCGAGGAAAAGAAGACAGAAAGACCTCCGGTTTGGTACATTTGGCAAGTTTAGATGGAACTTGCTTTCCAGTGTTTTGAGATACTTTTCCAGTGTTTTCGGGATTTTGCTGCGGATTCTCTTCCTGGTGGTTCGTGTTCGATCTTGAGCTTGTTTGCTCGAGAAGGGTTAACGTCAGCATGTTCCTGTCCTGTTAAGCCTCCATTCTGAAGTGTTGTACATGGAGTTTTTCTGGTGCTGAAGACCCGCAATGTTGCTGTGCCAGCCAACCATGCTACTCAAGCTGTTGCTGTGGAAGCAAGAGTGAGTGAGTCTATGCATTTGCTTGGTGCATTTTTGAAAAACTTGTTTGTCCTCCCATGTTCATCTACAGTATGACAATATCATCATCTAGTATCATCTACATATATATATATGTAACATCTACATATATATATATAATTACATATATCATACATCTCTCCCAGGTCGGGAAAAATCGCTCAACAAACCCTCTCCGACTCGCACCTAACCCGAACGTCGCTCGACTTCCCACGTCGATGTCACGAACGACGGGACCTCGCGGAAGTTGAGCGACGCGGTTTTGACGTGAATTGAACGTCTGGGGTGGTCAGAAAGTGGTTGGCCCAGCTAGCCAGGCTCAAGTCACAGGTCCATTTCCCAGAGGTATTTTTCTGTAGACTACAAGTTGGAGCTGTTGCCACACGTGGATTGTGGAACCAAATCCAAAGGCGCACTTGATCCGATTCGAAAAGTAGGTGGTGTTTGCATTTGGTGTTCAACGGGTTGCCCAATTTTGCTGGTGAGAAAGAGCGATCGTCCAGAAACATGGAAAACCGTATGGGCACAGGCCGCAGGAGGTATCAAAGCAGAGTCTTTTCACTTCGAAGAAGAGGTCCTTAGCTTCAGCCACTCTCTGCATAGCACATCGATCTGCATCATTTGCCCGTACGACACAAGCGATGCACGTGCGACGCACGTGATGGATGTTTGCGACGGCAGACCTTTGAGGCAGGATAGCCTGATGACGCAATGGTTGAATGCGCATGTGAGTGATTGGGAGGGAAGGGGTTGGTTGTGCCGGGTCTATTGGGTTGTGTGTTCTTGCAAGTGACGGAAGCCAAATTCCAAGCTCCGACTTTGAAAAAGAACACTGCGAGCAATGGTTCTTGCATCTCTGACTTCTTCCTTACTCATTTCTTCTTCCTTACTCATTGGGCTTCCCAAGAGGACCGAGAGGAAACCCGACCCGACCGCACGGACCCAGGCGTCTCACCTGCGGGGTGCGCAGGTGGACTCCAAGGCCAGTCTTCCGGAGTCGTCCCCCGTCGGGGCGACAACAGCGGTGCCGAATTGTGTCGTTTTGGGCTTGGCTGGCTTGGCTTGGCAAGCACACTGGGGCTTCTGAGCGTGAAAGAGTGTTAAAGAGACATATACAGACAGAACAGCAATGAGAAAAAGCTTGTAAATGGATGAGACTGGATGAACTGTGGACACGGACCACAATCTTCGAAAAACAAAGAAAAGACCAATCCGGTGGAGCCATTGTGTTCTACATCGCATTGTTTGGTCTAGTGCCTAGTGACTTGAAGATCAGACTCTAGCCACAACTCATCAAAGTTCTATGCTCTTGGGAGAGAAGCCCCTGAAATGGGAGTGAAGCCCCTGAAACACCACCATCTACCATCGGCCTTTGTTTGCCGAACCAGAGGATCTCCAGCTTGCGAAGTGATCTTGTGCATGTTTTGAGGGCACCAAATCCTCGTTTTTTCCATCGGTTTCCTTTCCGAGGTTTGGGATGGTACGGTCAATGAGGATGTCCTTCCTGATTCAGATTGGTGAATCATGCGAAGTCCGAGCCGTTTGCCGATCTATACTCGGCAACGGACGTCTGTTTCTTTTTTTGGGACGTGCATCCATGTCTTCTGCCAGGTTGACCATGATGACCATCCTGGCCCATCCATGACGGTCCATGACCCATCCTCCTTCTCTCGTTTTCTCGTTTTTCGTGGTCGGCGAGATCGAGCCTGGGCGCAGGTGAAAAGGTCGGCACGTCGCCCACAACGGCTCACATGGAGTATGAGCCCGCCCGGGAGACCTGGTTGAATCTGGTATCGTGAACACAAATAAGAACATCCAAGAACTGCAATGGCTTCTGTGATTTTAGAGTGTCGCTTCTAGGTTAGATTCCTTATGCCCTTATGCAATTAGGTTGCAGGCCATCGTTAGTAACGTAGTTTGGAGGCAATCGCTAGTATGTCAGACATGGTTTGACACAAGCGATGATTCGCGTCCAGACGTGGATGATTCTTCGCAGGATGGTGCGCAGGAGCTTCTGATCGATTCCGCTCAGGAGTGATAGTGCATGACGAGAATCACTGCCCAGTGTCACTGACCACACCATTTCAACGCATTTTCCCTGCTATAGTGGCATGACGCGACGAATTTGACAGAATCAGTTCGAGCACTCCATATCAGTGTAACATTCTTAACTTTCCGAGCTGAAGCGAAGTTTTCTGTTGGAGGATAGCTTTGGGGATAGATATGATTGGGACCAACTGTGAAACAACAACTTATCAACTTGTGCTGCAGATGATTCAACGTGTCAGAGTGGCACTTCGCCAGGAGAAGACTGCCAAGCATACAAGACACTTGCTGCTCTCGGCAAGGTGCTTTCATTTGACTGGCACCTATGGGCACCTTTTTTGGCTTCGGTCCTCGCAGAGACCTGCCTAGAGACCTGCCTGGATTTCTAGACACCTTGCAGGCAAGAAATCACACATACAGTGTATACAGGTGGTCAGCTTTTCCACCAAGTAGATGAATTGCCACATGGCATGTTGGTGTTGCTTGATGTGCTTTCCTCAACAAAAAGGTGCACCAACATGTGTTTCTTCGGCACGAAGTTCTGGCCCGTGATCCGATCGGCTAAGCTTCAACCGGCTTCGGCCGGCTTCCAGGACCGCGTGACAATTCGCTTCGCAGGTTCACTTTCGTCTTCTTTCATGGGCTGCTGATCATTTCGATGTCAGTGGCTCTTCAGTGGCAGGAGGGGTCGTATGTGCCGGTCTAGACGGCGAACGTGTGGGAGAGGGCGTTGGACACAGAGACCGGGACGATGGAACCGGCGACGGTCGGCGACATGGACATCCTGCTGTGATTTTGTAGCTCCAATGGCAGAAGAAGTTGGATGTGTGCGTTCTGCTAGGTCTTTCTTCTATTGCTGCAAGGGGGTTGCTGATATGGCAACATGTCCAACAAAAAGGGAGAACGTCTAGAATTGAAGTAGGGTTGTCGCCGCAACCCAAAGGTCTAGGAGGGTCAACTCACCGCAATCGCCCTATCATGCGGTTGTGTGTCAAGTTACTGTTTGGTCGGTCTCCTCGCTCGGCGCCACAGTGAAACGGAAGTGTTTCAGACCCTCCCTTGTGGCCTTACGGAGTGCCAGACCGCCACTTCTTGGTGGCTGGTTTTTCTACCTGCTTGGCCTGGAGCTTTGAGAGTGTTTCGTACAGGTGTTTCGCTTTGGACAGGGTTGGACTCAGGTTTATGTTACACGTGTTACGTCTTTCTTTTTTCTTTACAACGTTTTTTTCATTGTGAGACCCAAATTGCACGCTAGCACTGGGGAAAGCCGCAGGTGAGGGAAGTCAGACTGAATCTCATGAGCCGACTGTGGGCGGTGAGCCCACAGTCTGTGAGCACTGACCTGGCAAGTGAAGAAAGTGGCCAGTGCGATGGCCTCCAACCTACTTGTGATGGCCTCCAACCTACTTGCGATGGCCTCCACCCTAGTAGCGATGG